ACACTGAATTAACACCAACACTGAGTGTCAGTTTACTCAGAAAGTGTTAAATCAACACCCAAAAGTTTAATACTGAAATTTTAACACTCCTGCTGACTATTGATAACTATTCAACTGAACAGCAATTCAAAAAAATCACCAGAATATCAGGCAGCATGGATTAAAAACAAGTAAACACAAACAAATATCCAATAGTGAACATCAGTGGACAAACTCAAACTCTAGCACGGTCTAATTTGTTTTGGAGAGAGGGATGTGGGTCATGAGCGGCAGGAGACGGATTGATAGGAAGCGGAGGGGGGGCTACAGGCAAGGTGATTAAAAACTCAGGCTACAGATGTTTCTGGAACACTTCAAAGTGTTTCACCTGCCAGCGAGAGCGCTGAGCATGATGCATTATTGAGACCGTGCCCACCTGGCACCTGGCTCTGACATCACACACCCGGTCCACTTGGCTCAGTGTGGTCACGAGGGTGTGTGTGTGTGTGTGTGTGGGAGGGTATGGCACTTCAGGTCACACTTACACAAACCTGGCTCCCAGTGTGATGAAGGGCATCACGGGACACAGCACAGATTCTCTACACAGACCTCAAAGGCACTAAACTGGGGCATGTGCACTTTGTTAACTCAGCTTCATGGGAAAAATTTGAAGTGTCTTGAAAAATGTTTTGCTGGATGGGAACATTTCTTGCTTCTCCGCATCAAAACAAATACAAATAAATGATTTTAACGGGAATTGTAATGGCCTGTTTGAAGTGAACACGTAGCAGAATTTGTGTTAAAATAGAAAGTTTGTAGGAACTGTTAATGGAACACGAGTGGCTAAAATATTTAAGACCCGGCAATGCATGTCAACCACTGCTTTGTCTTATCGGGTTGTGGATGCAACAGATCCAGGAGAAAAAAACAGACATCCCTCTCCCCAGCGATATTCTCTAGCTCCTGCAGGGACCCCAAGACAATCCCAAACCAGAAAGGTTCCCTGCAGCAAATTCTGGGTCTGGCTCAGGGTCTCTTCCCAGGACATGCCTGGAAATCTACCAAAGAAGGAGTCCAGGATGAACTACCTCAGCGCCTTTGGATGCAGAGCAGCAGTCGATCATCTTCGAGATCCCCCTGGATGTTGGTGGTCCTCACCAAAACCCTAAGGCTGAGCCTGAGTACACTACTCTTTGGCTGCTTGTATCGTGTTGTCTTGGTTTGTTTTGGCTAGGATCTAGATGGACCAGCAATTTCACAGCTTTGCCTTTGTGTTGAATTCTTCATCACAACCGACCAAATCAACGGCCTCATGACTGAAGCCCCGATCCGTTTGTCTCCCATCACTTGTAAACAAAACACCCAGATTCATCAACTCCTCCATCTGCCAGCATCTGTATTTTAAAAAAAATATTCAACACAAAAAGTCTGAAATTCTCTCGGGAAAGTCCTCTCTCTACAACCTGCAGTTCTCAAACATTTCAGCACCCCCCCCCCCCCAGGTTTGTTTCGTTCTAGATTATTTGGAGGTCACACAGTGTACTTTTGTGCATCTCCCCTGCGTGTTGTCCCCTGACAGCTGTACTCTCTCAGGGTGTGGGGAACAGACAGAGGCCAGAGCCACAGTCACAGGTCTCAGACCAGTGGGGTGTGAAATGAATCGCAGAGCCAACATACTCTCCTCCTGCTGCACAAACTTGAAACCACTGTGCGGCTGAGTTTGTGGACTGGTGAGAGCGAGGACAATATAAAGGAAAGAGCTGTGAAAAGTAAAGAAAAAAACTACTTTTTGTTCTATTTCTGCATCGTCAGTAAACTAATCTCATAAATTTATCGTAAGGCACTTTTTAGTAGGGATGTCATATTTGGAGTTATGTTCTTTTATTCAACAAGTCATCAACGCTGGACAGCTGAGAATTAGTCCATTTGAGTTTTTCTGTAAATATTGCAGACGCACAACAAATACGTCTAAACCTATAAATTTAATATATATTTTCACGAATAACTGTTGTCAGAATTAGCCTTATTTTGGCAGAAATTACAGATATTGATCTAACATTTGATGTGGTTGAAGCTGTTCTCCTGGCCACACATTATCTCATGGCCACACACTATTGTCAAGTGGCCACAAGATATTTTTTTTATCCAATGTTACCTGAAGGGCACCTTATACTGTAATTCAATTCATGAAAAATATAAGTTCCCTAAGGGGAGCTTGACAGAAAGTAAATGAGATCCACTGCTTTAATAAATGCTAGAATTTTAATTAAAAAAGAAAGTTTGATCACTAATATTTTGGGTAATAATTCCTCAATAAATACAACTTTACATGTCAAGGTTTGATGTTGATGATAAGCTCAAACTCTTCTGAAAAATATAAAGAAGAAAAAAAAAAGCATCTGAAGCCAGAAACAGGGTTTAAGAGCGTCTCTTCTTTCTGATTGGCTCAACCCGCTGTCAATCATCCCACGCCTGCTCGGCAGCACCTCCCACAGACGCACAGCAGCAGCGCAGGTTTTTTTTTTCTTCCTTTTTTTWATACCCACAATGATTTTCAAAACACTTGCGACTCGTCTGCGAACGAGAGGAGGAAAGAGCGGAGAAACGGAGAGCCTCACCTCCTCAAACAACGAGTGAGGTCGGGATAAAAGAAGAGCTCCGGAGAAAAAGAAGAGGAGAGGAAGAGAAGAAACTGTGGAGTTAACAGAGAGGGGGAGAAACAACGGCGGCTTGAAGCTCCAGGGAGGAGTGTCTGATTGCTTTCTTCCAAAAAAAAAAAAAAAAGTGTCTAATTTTACACAAAATTCGACATGTCATCGTCCGGGAAAGACAACAGCGCTGCCCAACACGCCAATTATGTGGGACCTTATCGTTTGGAGAAGACGCTGGGGAAAGGACAGACAGGTTAGTTGGGACAGCTTTTCTTTTCTCACCACGTCCAATTAATTTAAAAAAAAAAAAATAAAGGTCTCAATTTTATTTGTCGCGCTCCGCAGCTATAAGTTGATGCCGTGGCCGGAGCGTCCGCAGCTGATAAACTGTTAATTACCAACACCTGCCCTGCCTCGTGAGGCGTTTGAGGGGCTTCGGCGGGGATCTGACATAATCATTGTTCACACACTGGGACGAGCGGGGATTTGTGGGGCTGTGTAGCTCGCGGTGGGTTTTCTTTGGCCAGTGCGCGTTGGCGTCGGACCCGATGCGTGTGACTGAAACGCGCGTGATGACACGGGCACTGAAAATGGAACTTTTAGTGGTCCGGGACGGCTTCCCTTGTGTGTTTGTGTGAATAATGTGCGTGCGTGTTTTCTGATTGGAGCACAACGCGGTTAATCCCGATTTCCCTGGTACATTGATCTATTCTTAGTCCGCAGGCACGCAGAGAGAGGAGAGGCAGGCGTTTCTCCTACTGGCAACTGGCGGGTTTCCTCCGATGTGGAGGAGAACGTCCCACCTTGACACCYAATGAGCTGCACGCAGAGCCGGGAAATAAGATTTAATCTGCGTTAATGCGTCCCAGGGGGTGGGAGCAGGCTTCCTGAATAAAGGGGCACCTGCTTTATGTCAGCCTGACAGCAGCAGTGACTGTGCATTTTCCAAAGTTGCATGGCACATGTGCTGTAAGGTTAAAGGAGGATGCTCTAGGACTAAAAAAAAAAAAAAAGCGTTGTGTTGTCAGTAAATTAACATGTTTTCAGTGCAAACCTCTTGCCAGTGGTGACTGGAGTGACCATCATGTACATGCAGGAAAACAGCACTGATGCATCATTTCTGCTCTCACCAACCCTTACAAAAGTGGGGGGTGCAATTACTTTTCCTCTGCTCCTAGTGGATAGATTTTCCTCCCATCTGCTGTCTAAAATGGCTACAAAAGGCGTTACTTCTTCCCCTACTTCGTCCAGCTGGTCATGCTGAGCAGCCATGTGTGTAAATGTTTCTGTGCCCTCCTAAACAGTATGCTTTCTCAAAATGTTTTTCCCCGGTCACTTTATTCACCTGGGCAGTGCTAACTGTTTATTAGTGGGTGTTGTCTGCATGTCTGCTTTGAGTGCAGCATGGTGTTTGCCTTGATAACTGATGCCTTCCCGTTGCTCCTTGTGATGCATTTTAACTGCGCGTGTTTCTTATCTCTTCAAATGCAAATACCTGCTGAATCCACAGTCTGTTTGTTTCTTCACGCTGTGCAGATTCAGCGGTGTGTTCCTGGCTTTTGTTTTTCACCTTTTTTCCTCTTTTCTACTGCTATTTTTGTTTAGGCGTTTCGTGCTCACAGGTGGAACTCGAGCTAAATATCAGACTCGGCTCCGGTTCAGATGGCTCTCTTGTGGTCTCTAATGGTTGTTTGTGGAGCTGGTATGGTCTGCTTGGTACAGACATTTAATTATGGGGTATCACTGAGATCATTGTGGACTCGGTTTCTATTTGTGGGAGTGTTTGGGGTCGATTTTGATGCGTTTCTGCTGGTGTATAAGTTTACGCGCCAGGTCAATTTTGATAATAACTTCTGTCAAACTTTCTTTTTCCTAAACCTGTCAGAAAAAATGTAACTAATTCTCAATTTTAATGATTTCTGAAGTAATAATGACAAGCCAAACCCTGGTTTCTTAATCACAAATCTTCTGGTTCAGTTTATTTTTTATTTTTTTGAAAATACGTTTGTGAGGAAAAAAAAATCAATTGGTCACACAACTCTGTGCTGCCATGCCAAACCTATTCCAATTACTGACAATGTGTAATATCCCATTTGTTTGTTGACCATTTGTTAATCGGTTAGACATTTTTTTCCCCCCAGGCCCCATGAAAAAGGTTGGCCTGGCAACTGTGAGTGCCCAGTGGGCTGAGCTGGATCATGACTGGCAGCAAGGACTGTCCACTGAGCCAACTCCCCTGGGAGGGTTCCCAGACTGGGATTGGCTCGTATTAATAGATGGGAGTAGGTGGAAGACGTCCTCTCGCTGTCCAGCTCAGAGGAGTTGTGTCGTTGCGTGTTCATTAGGTGATTAGACCTTTCCCTTGATTTGGCCTCCTGATCCTTCATGCAGCTGAAATCCTCACTGCTCTCACTTTCAAATTCACGTGGCTCAAAAGGGATCATGGGTTTTTTTATCTGTGTTTACTATTACACCTCCCTGCATCTTCACTTACATAAAACAGCTCATTGCTACGTCATCCAAAAGATACACTCCTTTCACGAACGTTTCTTGTCACAAGGGACTGAGTGTGTATATGAAGAGTGCGCACCAGTTTCTCATCAGTTTCCTCAGAGTGATTGTACAACTTTTCCATTGTCAGGYGTGCACTGGGGCCTGAAAAGATCTATAGATATGAACTGTCTGCATGGCTGGCTACTGATTGGTGCTGAAGCAACACAAGGCAATTTCTAAGTGAAAGATGGTGTTGCTGTGCTTTAGTGGCAGAATCCGAACAATGTTGCATGTATTTAATATGTTTTTACAGCAATAAGCCTTAACAACATAATCACGGACATGTAAAGTCAGTAACACTGCCYAACCTTTCACACCACAACACGGAAATGAATGTAAATGTTAAAACCTCAGCAGAAAGGCCAAGCTGTCTGTGGAGTTTTGATGCCAAACTCCATCTTGAATAATTTAATAGGGTTTGATGGCATCAAGGTAAATGTACAGATTACAGGGTAAATGTTGTCTTTTTAAACAAGAGTCATAAACTTATGGCTGATTGGTGTTAGTTGCTGAAATACCTCAAAATATTTTAAAAACAAAATCTAAACATTTTCTATCTTGGCTACATAATTCTCAATTCTGTGTTACAGTGGCACAATAGCTGAAGTAGCACCTGCTGAAACAGCTAATAAAACCTACAATTGAACGTCTCCTTCAGAGCAGGATTTGCAGTAACTCCTTTCTTGTTTTACAGAATCTTAAGGCTTTGCTTGACAAATCTGAATATGGTGGATTTGCATTTTTGCCAGTACAGCGACTTAAGACCGGCTGAATCACTACTCTGTTCCCTAATGTGTCAAACACTGCCTTGCTTTGCCTGGAGTTTGTTCCAGGGAGGTTGTTTATCAGAGTATTAGCGGTCTATAGTCAGGAACACATTGCATTGTGGTAATTCAGCATAAATCCATTCAGGGGTTGAATACTGACAGACAGAAAAGTTGGAGTTTTGTTTGCAGGGATTTTGATTCTTCGGTCAATGTTTAAAGAGTGGAATTATTTGTGCTTCAGGAACCTGTCCTACTGTCTGTTGATCTGACAAAATGCTGTGATGTTGTGCCTTGCTCTCTTTTCTCTCTTAAGCGCTCTCAGATGCAGTCCGTCTTTTGAAGGGTTCTTGTTTTGGGCTCACTGCTGCAAGGCATTTAAACCAGTATCCCGCTGTTTCTGCTACATTTATGTCAGCAAACGACTGGCCTGGTTTTGAACTTTTAGTTTGGATTTCACAGTTTGCAGATTTTTGCTGTGTTTGTATAGAGTTTAAGAAAAAAAACCAAATACATTTGTCATTCATTTTGGTCACGTAGATGAGTGCATAAATCAAACCAAGTCTGCATGTCTGTTACAGCACACGGTATTGCAAAAAGTATTAATTTGATGATGATTGATTGCTGGTGAGAGGGCATGGTGGATTCATGGCCACTCCCAAAGACTTCCTGTCAGGTGAGGAGATCCATACTTTTTCACAAGTCATGATATGTCTGATTATGACAACGGTGGACAGCACGTCCAGTCAATGCTGTCAATAGAAAACCGCTTTGCAAATTTGCAGAAATGGGTTGGTATTTAGTTGCAGATACCTTTTTATTGCCTGTGAGTGTTGCAGCTGCTCACATACTTTTTGACCTGTCGTCAAAGTCAATGTCGCGCTCAAACAGGTGGTTATCTCCCCCATGTTCACAAGATTGCCCAGAAAAAGTTGCCAGCTTTGGTGTGAGGGGGATGATCATTCCGTGTTTTCGTAAGTCTGCTCAAAGGTTCAGGTCAGAGAAGCCCTGACCCAAAGGCTGCGCTGTGTTGCTTCCCAGATGGGTTTCTCCCCGCGTTCCAGCTGCAGAGCAGGAAGCCAAGCCTGCATGGTCTCAGCTGTTCCACTGTCTGGTTAAAGCCGAAGCCTTGCTCCCTCAGCCCTGAAATGTATCCTAAATGGTGTGAGGCTGGTGTCCCTGTGTCTCAGCTGCATATGCTGTCTATTTATGAGCTTTTATGAACACATCCCTGTCTGTTACAYCACCGCTTTGGTCATTTCTACTGTGTGAATGAATGGTTAAAAGAAGTTGGATCAAAACCTGGATTCAATGTGGTCCTTCTTCTGTCTGTGACTTTGGCTGTCGTTATATAATGATGATTGTCTCTGCCATTTATTGGGCATCTCTTCTCACCCTTCTTGCTCTTTCTCCCTCCTTTCCCCCTGGCCAGTCAAGATTCATACTGGGATTCAGTCATGTGGTAAATCAGACAAGACCTCGGTGGAATTGCATCGATTGGGAGGAATGTATGTAGCCAACGATTTTCAGAGATTAATGACGAGGAAAGAGGTGGAGAAACGGGGGGAGGAGCAAGGCGGCTTATGGGCAAGAAGATAGAGTAGGAGTAGATGAAAAAAGAAAGGGGGGGGGGGACCTTGAAATGTGAGAGGATGAAATGGTTCTGAATTTTCCAACTGCAGTGGAGGTTATTAATTAAGGCAAAGTATCGATCATCCTCTTCATTTCTTCCCCCTCCTCCTTGATTTTCATCTCTTTATTGCTGACCTCCAGGGGAGAAAGGGCTCAATATTCAGTTGGGAGGTCAGTGAATAAGCGAAGGCACATTGGGAGATCATGAATGAGTGTGTTTACGTTTGTGTGTATTTTTATTTTGGACAGGCTTCATTGCTTCCTATTTGGCTCTTAACCTAACTGGGCACATCCACTGTCACTT